CTTTGGAAAGGTATAAGGCAAGATTAGTTGCCAACGGGTATACACAAACCTACGGCATAGATTATCTTGAGACTTTTGCTCCAGTTGCTAAGATGAATACTGTGAGAATCCTGTTATCAGTGGCTGCAAATTTTGGTGGGAGATTATAGCAATTTGATGTCAAGAACGCCTTCTTATATGGCGATCTTGAGGAGGAGATCTATATGGAGATTCCGCCTGGGTTTGGCTCAAATGAAAAGGAAGGAATGGTATGTAAGCTTAAAAAAGCTTTGTATGGACTGAAACAATCCCCACGAGCTTGGTTTGGGAGATTTACCAAAGTGATGGTGAGTGTGGGATATAAGCAAAGTCTAGGTGATCATACATTGTTTGTAAAGCACTCAGCATCAGGGGGAGTGACAGTATTGTTGGTCTATGTGGATGACATCATAGTAGCAGGAGATGACTTGGAAGGAATGGAGAGCTTGAAGAAACAGTTAGTGAAGGAATTCGAGATCAAAGAGCTAGGAAAACTGAAGTACTTTCTTGGTTATGGAAGTAGCCCACTCTCAGCAAGGGATTTATATCACAGCAAAAATATGTATTAGACTTATTGGCTGATACAGGCAAGCTGGGATGTAAGCTAGTTGAGACACCTATGGAGTCAAACCACAAACTTAGTGATGCTCCAGAAGACGTGGCCGTGGATAAAGGCTCTTATCAGGGACTTGTGGGGAAGTTAATTTATTTGTTACATACCAGGCCAAATATAGCTTATGCTGTGAGTGTTGTGAGTCAATTCATGCACAAACCTAACGAATCACATCTCAAAGCTGTGTAAAGAATTCTGCAGTACTTGAAGGGTATACCAGGAAGAGGAATTCTGTTTAAGAAAGGGGAAGGACCGACTCTTGAAGCCTACACAGATGCAGATTTTGCAGGATCCATGATTGACAGAAGATCAACCTCGGGCTATCGCACCTTCCTAGGTGGTAACCTCGTTACTTAGAGAGGCAAAAAACAGAATGTGGTTGCAAGGTCCAGCGCAGAAGCCGAATTTAGAGCGATGACACTTGGGATATGTGAACTGCTATGGCTAAGGATAATCTTGGAAGATCTGAGAGTCAGATGGGAAGGTCCAATGAAGCTTAACTGTGATAATAAATCAGCCATCAATATTGCACACAATCCTGTGCAACATGACCACACAAAACACATTGAAGTGGACAGGCATTTTATTAAAGAGAAGTTGGATAGTGGCCTCATTTGTACTCCTTTTGTTCCCTACTGGAGAACAGCTAGCAGACGTGCTTACCAAAGGATTGCCTGGTACCGTTTTTTAGAGAATAACCAGCAAGCTTGGAATGGATGACATCTATTCACCAACTTGAGGGGGAGTGTGGGAAAATACGATTATTTCCTTGTATAAGGAAATCGTGTACAGGATGTTAATAGCTAGGGATTTATTAGTTATTGTAATACCTGATTTCTAGGGATCAGTTTTTTATATGTATTGATATGTATCTCCAGGATTAGTTAATTTCCTAGAATAGCATTATTCTGAAGTACATATAACAGTGTATTCCCAATTCTTTAATGAATTGATTTGATTACCAATTTCAGTAATTTTGTCAAAAAGTGACATCCATACACACAAAAGCACTGCAAGTGCTAGGATCCCAACATTTATATCCCTTTTGAGTGGGAGAGTAGCCAACAAATACACATTTAATTCCACGAGGAGACAATTTATCAGTGTCAGGACTCAACACATGAGCAAAGCACACAACCCAAAGGCTTTGACTTCGGCTTCTTTCTTTTTCTTCTTCTGAATCCTAATTCTTTGCTTCCTTCCTAAGGTTATATAGGGCTGACAATGGGTTTTGTCGAACCGTATTCAAACACGGCCCTCTTCCCTTTATCTTTTTTCGTGTAAATCAAATAGGAGTTCGCCCGTTTATCATCGAAAATAGTTTATGACTTTCCCCACCCAGCTGGGTCTTCCACTGCTTCACACCAGAGTGAGGTCTTATACTTCACCGTCGATGAAAGGGGTCATTCAGTCACTTACTCTTTTTTCATCAATAGCAGCCGCCGTCACTGGCAGCTCCTCTTTGGTGGTCGTCGTCTCTACCTTCTTCGTCGTCGCCGGCAGAAGCTTCTTCGTCTCGATTTGCAGAGGTGAGATTGATTTTCGGCCGGAAGTTGATTTAGCCGCTGCTTGTTGATTCGGCCGCTGCTCGTGGTTGGGTTGCCGTCGCCTCCGCCGTATTGTTTACCAGAGTTTGTGACGGAGTGAAGAAGAAGACCCGTGTTTGGCTACACGGTTGTGCTACTCCAACCCTGGTTTGCTAAACCTGGGATAGTTATTCCAATCCCGGTTTACTAAACCAGGGATAGTCCAAATCCGGTCTGGTTCCAAGATCCGACCCGTACCAGGACCCGACCCGTGCCAGGATCCGACCTGTTTCAGGACCCGACCCGTGCCAGGACCCGACACGGTTTCAGACCCGCTTCCAGGTTCGGCCAGAATACAGAATTTTTGTTTTTCTCTCCTTTTTCTTCTCTGTTTTGCTGGATTCAACATGGCCTCAAGTTCAAGTTCAGATTTGCTTTCACCTACGAACAGTCTTAAGTCTCCCATGACTTCAGTTAAGCTCAATGGGAAGAATTACATATTGTGGGCCAAATCTGTTGCCATTTTTCTCAAAGGCAGAGGTCTTGGTTCTCATTTGACTAAAGAGAAACTCAAGGCAACTGATACTTCCTTTGATGCATGGGAAAAAGAAGATGCTCAGATCATCTCTGTGATGATAAACAGTATTGAACCCCAAATTAGTTCAACGTTACTTTATTTGGATATAGCCAAGGAGATATGGGATAGATTGCAGCAGTTATATTCTGGGACAGGTAATATCACCCGTGGTTATGAGCTATGTAAACAGTACTTCAATCTTGAACAAGGTACTCAAAGTATAGAAGAGTATTATTCCAAAGTTATGGGAGTGTAGGCGCACGTTGTCTGGTGGAGGATGCCATGTTGTTTGAAGAAATCAGTAAAAGACTGATTCACAAACTCACGACCGTTGTCAGAATGGAAAACCTGAACCTGAGTATGAAATTGTGTGACAATCATTTCGTAAAACTGAGGAATAACATGTATAACATCACTCTTAGATTTTAACAAATAAACCCAACTCACTCTAGTACAGTCATCAATAAAAGATATAAAGTATTTATGGCCCGAAGCAGGAGTAGAAAAAGGATCCCACGCATCTGTGTAAACACATGAAAAAGGAATAAGACTTTTATTGAAACTCACTTTAAAAGGAACACGATGGTTTTTAGCATAAATGCATTGTTCACACCCTAAACTAGAAGCAGAAATATTGCAAAATAACTTAGGAAATAAACATTCTAAATAAGAGAAAGATGGATGTCCCAAACGACAATGCCATAAAAATATCTTCTCTCTGTCAGACTCTTTCTCTACTTGAAAACCACGGCTAGGTTCAGATTTTAACTCCCTTACCCCCTTCTGCAAGTAGTAAAGACCTCCTCTCGCCTTACCAATGCCAATCGTCATCTTTGTAAGATTGTCCTGAAACACACAATGGGTAGAATGAAAAGTTACAGAACAATTAAGATTTTTGGTAATTTTGCTAATGGAAAGAAGGTTGTTAGAGAGATTAGGTGCAAGTAAAACTAAAGACATGGAGAATGTAAGAGAAAGTGAGACATTCCCAGCCCCTGTAATTGGCATAGGAGTCCCATTAGCAACCTGAACAGACTTAACGGGTGAAGGTATTAGAGAGTCAAGTATGGAAGGGTTACTAGTCATATGATCAGTGGCCCTGAATCAATAACCCAAGTGTTCGAAGCAGTAGAAATAAAGGCCAAACCAGAGTTACCTCCTTGAGAAGACACTCGAGATACATGAGAAGCAGAAGATGGAGAAGTGTCGGTGATAGCAACCTGAGCAAATTTCTTGTTCTTCTTCTCAGCTTGCTTAAGCTTGAACCACTCTGGATAACCATGTTTCTTCCAGCAAACATCAACCGTATGTCTCGTACTATTGCAGTGAGTGCAGAGACGAGAAGTAAAGTCGGCAGAAGGAGGAGTGATAGATAATGCCGATTGGATGCAGAGATAGGGCTGACAGCAAGAACCTGTTGATCGGAGAGAAAGATAAGCCACAGGTAAGCAGAGTAAAGGCAGCGGCAGGTTTGATTATGGGTATATAGAGTGATGGTAAGTATGGGTATGGATAGAGTTTAGACAAATTGGTGATTGCCAAGGTCAATCAGAGAAAACCCTAATCGTGTATGGTCTACCATGTCAAAACTAGAGAAAAATAGGGAGAAATATTTTATGATAATTTTATTCTTCTCGCAAGGAGGTATTTATACTATACACAAATAATACATATAAGGTAAGTATTAAGTTTACCAAGTTAGCTCTAATCAACTACGCGATGTTAGAAAGGGTAATGGTATGCCTCTAACATCTTTACACCCATGTATTTATATTAGTCAAAAACCAAGTGGTAAAATCTCACTAGTTACACCCACTAATTATGCTCATTCCAAGAATATTCACACATATTCCAACAGTATCCAAACCCATAATTTTCCCGTACCATATTTTATTAACTTTGACAAGAACCAAAGTGCCAAACGTTTTTTTTCTGGACATTTAATTTGATATATCAGTTTTGACTACTCTATTGGAATCCGTTATGTTTGCTAACAGACTTAATTCTTTAATACATATTTTTCTTCAATGGATAATTATTGTGGAGCATATTTTAAGAATTCCTTTTTACAATTGCAAATTACATTATGTAGACAGTGAAAAAAAAAAAAAAAAAAAAAAAAAAAAAAAAAAAAAAAAAAAAAAAAAAATTAACTTGTTTTATTTTTAATGTTTTAATATTTTTTTTCTCTTTATGCTTGACCATTTTGTAGTGTATGATAATTTGTTCTAATTTGTTGTACTCAATTTTATGTATCTTAAATTAGGGAGTTCTTGCTGATATCCTAGATCCAATTATGGGGAAAGGACTTATACCTGCTGACCTCAACACTTGGAAGCAAAGGAGAAGAGGTGAGCAAGCAACAATTATGTTATTCTGGCTTTGCATTCAACTTTATTGTCGGTGATCAACCTTTGCTATGTTCTTGTGTTTTTTTCCAGATGCATATATATATATATATATATATATATATATATATTTGTTAACAACCATCTACTCTAAAAGTTTAAGCTATTGGAGAGGGTGTAACTTAAATATATATATCCTTCAACACGCCCCCTCACGTGTGGCCTTCTTTTCGTTCACCACGTGATTTCAATTTTAATTATCAGGGTGACGATGAGGTTTGAACACGAGACCTTTGGCTCTGATACCATGTGAACAACCATCTACTCCAAAAGCTTAAGCTATTGGAGAGGGTGTAACTTAAATATATATATATATTTAAACTTAAATATATATATATATATATATTTAAACTTAAACAATATTCATATAGATATATCATCTTCATTTTCACTGTCACTATTCTTGCCTTAATTTCATATGAATGAGATCAGTCAAATGAATTCGCTCATGTAGATGTATATCCTGTTAACAAGTTAAAGTTTTCTGTGTTATTTACGCACTGTCCTATTGGTTTTTCATATGTTTCTTATAAAAGAGTAAGTTGACCATATCATAATAATAAAAATAGTAGATCTTAATATTGTAGCAGTTATTACGTTTTTACCCTTTTTCTCTATGTTAGAAGCGATTTCTAGGCGATTAGGGTTTCTCGGGGATTGCTGCTACTAACATGGATTAGGGCTTATGGGAGGATATTTCCTTTAAGTAGCGAATCTACCACGTCTCCTTCTCAATGGCGAGGTTGAATGCTTCCCAATTGAAGATGGTAGGACCTTTAGGGTCGATCATCAAAGTCAAGCAGACCATACTATGTTCTATAAACATTCAAGAGAAGGTAAAGTAGCTATCTTGATTGTTTATGTGGATGAAATAATCTTAACAGGTGATGATAGTGCCGAACTGGAAAGATTGAAGAAGGGACTTGCTAAAGATTTCGAGATAAAAAACCTAGGAGCATTGAAATATTTTCTCGGAATGGAGTTCGCTAGGTTCAAGGAGGGTATCTTGGCCACTCAATGCAGATACACACTTGACTTCTCGGTGAAAAAGGTTTGCTTGGATGTAAAGCAGCTGAAACACCAACCGAGCCCTACTTGAAGCTGCAACATGCTAAAATCGAAGACGTGAATATAGAACAATTCCAGACTCTTGTTGGAAGATTAATCTATTTATCTCATACACGTCCCGATATAGCATTCGCAGTAAGTAGAGTGAGCCAATTCATGCATTCACCGGGACAGGAACACTTTGAATTAGCATACATAATCCTAAGGTATCTAAAAGGAACTCCTGGTAAAGGTCTGTTATTTAAAAAACAGGGGCATCTTCAGGTTGAAGTCTATACATGTGCGGATTGGGCTGGTAGCATTACTAATCGGAAATCTACCTCAGTACCTTCGTTGGAGGGAATTTGGTTACTTGGCGAAGCAAAAAACAGAACGGAGTGGCTAGAAGTAGTGCAGAAGCTGAATTTAGATCAGTTGCTCATGGAATTTGTGAAGCTTTGTGGATCAGAAGGTTACTAGAAGACTTGAAAAATTCCGAGTACTTCAACAATAAAAGTGTACCGTGACAACAAGGCAGTAATTGCAATTGCTCATAATCCTGTCCTTCACGGCAGAACTAAACATGTGGAAGTTGACAAGCACTTTATCAAAGAGAAGCTTGAGAAGGGATTAATATGCATGTCTTATATACCCACCACTGAGCAGATTGCAGATATTCTTACAAAGGGACTACACAAAAGACAATTTGACTACTTAATTGGCAAGCTGGCTATGGAAGATATATTCAAGCCAGCTTGAGGGGGAGTGTTGGAAACGGAAATAATTCAGCCAAGATATAGCCGAAATTTCAGGGATATCATAGCTGTAAATATGTAGAATTAGTCGATGCCTATAGAATAGGAAAGTTTAAATTTAAATTAGAATAAGTAGTTAATTACTTCCTATTTTTATGCCTTGTATCACCTATTTATATAGATGCCGTGTACATTATCAAAGATAGGGAGAAAGAAATATTCCTTTCAATAGTTTTCTGTCTTTTAGTAGGGTTATCAGATTTCTCTCTCACGCTTTTCAACATGCCACCAAGAAGAAGAAATCCGACTCGCAGACCAGCCGTTCGGCCTGATCAGGATGTAGTAGTTGATCAACAACAAGTGCTTGCTGTGATAGAAGATCTAAAAAGGCAGATTGAATCTTTAGCTCTGCGCACTGCGCAAACCCCAGCCCCTTCTCAAGATGGCGTCGAATCTGAGGAGGACAATTTGGAAGAGGAATTTGTTGATCCTTTTCGCAGAAACGCAGCACCAAGACCAGCACCTTTTCCATATGAGGAAAGGTGTTGGGATGGTGGTTTTAAGGTGGAAATTCCAGAACTTGCAGGAGATCTGAATGGAGAAGGTTTCATTGATTGGTTAACCACTGTGGAAAGAATCTTTGACCTGAAGGAAGTACCCGATGACAAAAAGGTGAAATTGGTTGCTGTGAAACTAAGAGGAAGAGCATCAGCTTGGTGGGATCAGTTCATTATGGCACGGCAAAGGCAAGGAATGCCTAAGATTGTTGATTGGGAAAAGATGCAAAAAAAGCAAAGGTTTTTCTTCCTTACAACTATACCCAATCAATGTTTCAAAGGCTACATAATTGTCGTCAAGGAAGCAAGATTGTTGACGATTACACACAGGAATTCTTTGGACTTGTTTTCAGGAATGAGTTAAATGGAAGTGAGGGAGCAACAGGTTGCACGGTATATAGGGAGCTTACCAGTTAATCTGCAAGTTATACTGAATCAGCAAGATATTTGGAATGTTTCTCAAGCACATCAACGTGCCAAAGCAGCAGAAATTCAGCAAGCAAGAGGGACACACAGAGCACCAAATAATCAGGTTACTTCTAATCGAGCTACAACTTTTAGGGGACAATCTCAAAGTGGCAGCAATGCAGCCCCTCAATCACAGCCAAGTGGTGGAGCAACTGTTGCTAAATTGCAGCCTAATGGAGCAGGAATTAAATGCTTTAAATGTGGAGCACCTGGACACAAGTCGACTGAATGTCAAAAAGCAAATAGTCGTGAAGGAAAGCAGCTTCTTATGGAAGAATGTGGAGAAGAAGAACCACAAGAAGAAGAACCTATTTATGATGATGATGAGGAGGATGCTGTTGTAAGAGGAGACATGGGGCTCTCTCTTGTGATGCGAAAGACCTTTATAGCATCATGACACAAAGATCCTGAGGATTGGCTGCGACATAATATTTTCCAAACTCTTTGTACCATTGGGAGTTGTGTTTGCAAGCTGATTATAGATAGCGGAAGCTGTGAAAACATCATCTCTCAAGAAGCAGTGACGAAGTTAAAGCTATCGATGGAAGCGCATCCTCAACCTTACAAACTTTCCTGGTTCAAGAAAGGCAATGAGGTATCTATCACTAAATGATGCTTAGTTAATTTATCTATTGGTAATAGGTATTTTGATAAAGTATGGTGCGATGTTGTGGCAATGGATGCATGCAATGTCGTGTTTGACCGACCTTGGCAATTTGATAATATAGTGCAACATGATGGCTGCAAAAACACTTACACATTTTATAAAGATGAGAAGAAAATAATATTGGTTCCATCTAAAGAGGAAGAAGTTACACCTAAACCTAACTGAGGGAGGGTGTTAATTTACTCTCTATGGCCAATTTTGAGGAGGAATTGGACGAGAGTGGCTTGGTATATGTTTTAATTGGTAAAGAGAAGCTTGCAGGAACAAATTGTCCAGCCACTGTTCATCCACTTTTAGAGGAGTTTGCTGATGTTAAGCGACAAAATTTACCCCATGGATTACCTCCCATGAGGGACATCCAACACCAAATTGATCTAGTGCCCGGAGCTACTTTACCTAATAAGCCACATTACTGAATGAGTCTAAAGAGCATGATGAGCTTAAAAGGCAGGTTTCAAAAATATTGGAGATGGGTTATGTGCATGAAAGTATGAGTCCATGTGCTGTACGAGCTTTATTGGTACCAAAGAAAGATGGGAGTTGGAGAATGTGTACTAATAGTAGAGCCATCAACAAAATTACTGTGAAATACAAATTTGCTATCCCTCGGCTAGAAGACACGCTAGATCATCTTTTGGGAGCTAAAGTGTACTCAAAGATTGATCTCAAAAGTGGATACCACCAAATTAGAATTCGCCCTAGAGATGAATGGAAGACAGCTTTCAAAACTCGTGAGTGGTTGTATGAATGGTTGGTTATGTCGTTTGGTTTGTCAAATGCATCAAGCACTTTTATGCGAGCGATGAATCATGTGCTGAAACCTTATATTGGGAAGCTTGTTGTGGTATATTTTGATGATATTCTTGTGTATAGCACTTCAGAAAAGAAACATCTTGAACATCTACAAGCTCTCTTGACTACTTTAAGGGAGGAAATATTATTCAATAACTTAAAGAAGTGCAGCTTTATGACAGATCGATTGCTGTTTTTAGGATATGAAGTCTCCTCAAAAGGAATTCAAGTGGACCAGTCCAAAGTGCAAGCTGTCATTGAGTGGCCAAGTCCAGCAAATGTTCATGAAGTTCGTAGTTTTCATGGGTCAGCCTCATTCTATCGTCATTTCATAAGGGATTTCAGCTCACTTGCAGCACCAATTACGAGTTGCATGAAGAAAAGACCATTTAAGTTGACCGCTGAAGCGGAAAAAAGTTTTTCGATTATATTGAAGATTTAATGGAGGAATAAGTGAAGGAAAATCTTTCAGTAATTGATGTTGTTTCCAATTATTGAAGATTTGGTATTACTAGAGGAATCAGTGGAGAAAAATCTTCCTTATTTCCTATTTTCTAATTCTTTCCATTCTTATAATTTCTTCTCCTATATAAAGGACCTCCACCATTGTATTGTGTATGAATTGAGAGAGTATTATAAGAGTGATATAGCCCTTTG